GGTATAGAAGTCTCTGCCGTCAAAACAGGTACTAGTCTTTATTTTTGATATGCTGAGAAACCTTGATTGAGCGGAGAGAATTGCCTCTTCACTGGGACGGGGAGTCTTGGGAGTTGAGCCATTGGTATCGAGGGAGAATGTTTGCGGGGCGGTGTTTTGGCCAGTCGGGGCCGGTTGAGAGGGTTGCGAGGAAGTTCCCGCATCGCCATTCCGCAATGTCTGGAGTCCTTGCTCCAAGCTGGTGAGTCGCTGAAGAAGTTGTGCGAGAACTTCGGAGTCGATTCTCGTCGTGTTCCCGCTTGGCCCAGCCGGGTTGGGTTGTGCTTCAGCCGTCAGATTAGTCTGACCACCAGATCCTCCGGCCATCCTCGTGCGTGATCGTGTGCCGGTCGCCACTTTTCAGATGTCGTAATTTTCGGTAGTGACGGTGCAAAGGATTCCAGAGTCGCTCTCATACCATGCTGCGATCAGAAGTTGATCGTAACCCAGGATCTACTCTGGTAGGTTCGCACGCAGTGGGTAGTGTTGGTGGGTCCTTGATCTCAATAGCAGAGTGAATGTAAGATGCTTGAGATAATAAAAACATGCAAATACAGCGATATAAATATGAGTGCAAGGGAATTCGAAACGACATAACTAGCCATGTACTCTAAGGGGTATATTCCCTTATTCAAATGCATCCCAACCGTTCGGCGCGTACAGTTTCGTAACTGTTCCCGCCAAAACCATCCTGCCTGTAGTTGTCCGATGCCGTTTGCTTCCGACGGTTCAGATGTGCTGTAGCCGTCTGACTCTTTGACTCAATTCCAACCGTCTGGCGCTTGCGTTCGTTCCCAATATTGTGCGTACCTTGCTACGGTGAGGAGTGCTTAGTAATATCGAATATTACTATTCGTAACAAGATCTTCATTCTGCTCTCATCTGATTCAGAACCTCAATGCGACAGCAGTTTGTTATTTGGTGTCGTCATTTCACACCATATTTTCTCCCAGAGGATTTTGAGCAGTACAATTTCTGAATCCTGGTTCTTTGCCTCGATTTTTAGTTGCAAGGCGCTGCATTTCCTCATTAGACAGCAAGAAAGTGCGTTTTCCACGTTGCGCTGTGGGCCCGCCGTGACGCTTGTCCAGAAGGTGACATTCGATGTCACGTTGAAACAACACGACTGATAGGAAGGAAGGAAATCGCTTCTCTGAGTCTCGCTTCTGAGCATAGCTTCTGAAAATTCTTGGTAACTACTTACTTTTCGACACCAGCACCCCACCTTTCCACATTTCCTATAGATTGTTGTATGTCCGGGCGTAAAACGCTTATGTAAAAGGTGAAACGCGGCGTGGTGTCTTGTTACCCGCGCTAGCTCGTCCCGGTGGTATGAGCAGTGCCTACCATCAAGTAGTTCACGATCAGATTCGGAGTTGTCAACTAAAAAAATCGTGAACGGAGGAGGGCGGATCAATGTCTTTCTACCAGCACTAGCTTTGCCTGGTGCGTGAGCATCTCCTTGCACCATGGAGTTCACAATTCGATTCAGGGTGCCGGCTACTCTGTTGAAAATCACGAAAGGTAGCAATGGCGACGCCACTTCGTTGGCCAGCGGAACCAGTAGCAGCAGCGTTACCACCACCAGTAACAGTAGCGGTAGTACCAACAATAACAGCAGCAGTCCTCCTGATTCTGTCAACGAGCAAATAACGGCTACGGTCGCGCAGCCAGTGTCAAAATCCCAACCACTAGACCATTGGGATAAAAGGGCTTGTTTCAGTAGCGGGTCAGTGCGCCCATAACCCCCCAGGCAAACGCGCCTGTAACCCTCTCCAGGATCGATCGGGCATCCACAGTGCAGATTTACTGACACCCCCCCACACTGGGAGGCCCAGGACTAAGCACAACGGCAACGGCCTACATGTGCATACACCGGGAATCGAACCCGAGACCGCTCTGATACCATGTCAGAATCCCAACCACTAGACCATTGGGATAAAAGGGCTTGTTTCAGTAGCGGGTTAGTGCGCCCATAACCCCCCAGGCAAACGCGCCTGTAACCCTCTCCAGGATCGATCGGGCATCCACAGTGCAGATCTACTGACATGTGAATGTTCTAGCAAGGCTTAGGAGCCATAGCGAGTTAGATCTAGTGAGTTGAGTATTGAGCAAGTTGAAAGGGGAGAATGAGGGTTCAATAATAGCAAAGAGATACAACATATAGTCAAGAAACTAGAGGTGCACCACCAAACAGAAGACAAGATAAATACACTACACCTAAACCACAAGCAGTTACATAAAATAACTTTGACACGCCCCCATAATTGCTTGTGGGAAGAAGTGTAGTTATCGCCCCCTGAAGGGGTACACCAGTCAGAGTGCGCAGCAGAACGGGAGAGGGCAGGCAAGGAGGAGGAGAGAGAGAGGGAGAGAGAGGAGAGGAGGTGGTAGGCTCTGGTTGGTCACCCCCTCCATCCCCTCACCCTCCCCCTCCCCCTCCCCCTCCCCCACACACTGCTGCAGGAGCAGCAGAGGGGGGGAAGAGAGGAGAGGTGGAGGGACGGGTGCTGGTTGGTCTCACACCCGCCACCCCAGGGCCACTCCCCCGGCTCCCCCACACCCTCACACCCTCCCCCCCAGCGGCAGCTGCAGCAGTGGGAACAAAAGGAGGAGGAGGGGGGGGGGGGGGGGGCGACGCACGGCCTCCCCGGGCGCCAAAGCAGGCGGCAGAGGGGGCGACACTTGCCCCCCCCTTCCAAGTCGCCTCGACAGGTGACGGGAAAAAGGGGGGGGGGGGGGGGGGGGGGGGGGGGCGGTGCACGTGCCCCCGGTGTGCCGCGGCTGGCGACGGGGCATGGCCGGGGCGGGGTCGGGGCCGCAAGTGGGCGGGGCCATAGGTGGCATCGGGGCCGAAGTGGGCGACGGGGCCGCAAGGGTGGGCCGGGCCGCAGGTGGCGACGGGGCCGTAGGTAGGCAGGAAGGCGACGGGGTTGGGGCCACAGGTAGGCGACGGAGCCGTAGGGCCGCAGGTAGGCGACGGGACCGGGGCCGCAAGTAGGCGACGAGGCCTTAGGGCCGCAGGTAGGAGACAGGGCCGGGGCCGCAGGAAGGCGACGGGGCCGGGGCCGCAGGTAGGTGACGGGGCCGTAGGGCCGCAGGTAGGCGACGGGGCCGTAGGGTCGCAGGTAGGCGACGGGGCCGTAGGGCCGCAGGTAGGCGACGGGGGCGTAGGGTCGCAGGTAGGCGACGGGGCCGTAGGGCCGCAGGTAGGCGACGGGGCCGTAGGGCCGCAGGTAGGCGACGGGGCCGTAGGGTCGCAGGTAGGCGACGGGGCCGTAGGGCAAGGGGCACGTCACGGGGCGTGCCAAACACAGATTAGCAGCGGAAGCTGTAGGGTGGGCCCACAGGTCAGGGCCTTGGTCACTCTGATAACATGTGAATGTTCTAGCAAGGCTTAGGAGCCATAGCTAGTTAGATCGAGTGAGTTGAGTATCGAGCAAGTTGAAAGGGGAGAATGAGGGTTCAATAATAGCAAAGAGATACAACATATAGTCAAGAAACTAGAGGTGCACCACCAAACAGAAGACAAGATAAATACACTACACCTAAACCACAAGCAGTTACATAAAATAACTTTGACAGCCAGCACCGGCGTCTCACGTGGATTACTCCATATCTGTTGATCCGCAGGAGCCGCTCCAATCGGCGTTCAGCAAGCTGTTTCATTCCCGCCTGCCGCACTGCTGTTTGCCGAGTCAGCTGTAACGCATAACCTACTCTGCCTCATCTACATCGAGAGACTTCCTAGATGAGAAATGACGTGAAGGCAATCGGGAAGGTTGAGTTGGAGAAGAACATTGGTTTGGTTTTCCCAACCCTCAACCTTGAGGCTTGGAAACTTCCAACCCATCAAAGTGAAGATTGGAAAGGTTGGATTTCCAACCAATCAAGTTGTGCCAGTTGTTGTTACAATCCACACCAACTTAAAACAGCCATACAATTATGCTAAGTTGGGTTTTTCCCAACCAAACTAAATTGCCACCTAGGCTCCAAGCCTATTAGCTCCCCAACCATGGAAGCCATGGTTGGGAAAAGCCCCAAGGGGTATGATGGAAGGGGTTGGAGCTCTCAAACTCATTCCCACTTCCCAACTCCAACAATCTAACTTGGAAATGGGATTTTCACTCCAAGTCTTTTGGGTTCTCCTAATAAGCTCCCCTACACAACTAGACTTGTGATTTTTCAAGGACAAGCTCTACAAGAAGCTCCTACCTACTTATTAAAGCTTCATCAACCTTCTTCAAGCTCCCTTTCTCCTCTCAAGCGTGAGGAGTACTATCAAGGCTAAATTACCCCTTGGTGGGATTAGTTAATCTTGAAAGCCTTGTATCTTGGTTTTATAAATGTTGTCAAGGGTGATTTATATTTAACACACGGTTGCCCGTTGTTATAAGGGCCGTAATTGTTACATCAGCAGACACGTCAGCAGCAGGATGACGTCGATAAGGCCGACCAAAGAAATCCTACGGAAGAAGAGAAGCATGCTGTTCGGTTTATGGCTGTCGGTCAAGTGGTGTACCTATCACATGGTGCACCACGTGGATGTCAACCTCCCCTGGAACCACTCCCTCTGCGCCTGCTGCCTCTCGCGCATCCTCCACCCCGCCCCCCCCACCACCTACCAGACCTCCACCCTCAAAGCCCTCCGCCTGCACCTACAGCAGCCTGTGAGTGAGAAAATCAACCTCTGCCCAGCCAGCAACAACCGGCCGTCCCAGGCTATCCTAGCGTATTCCGCCACGGTTAGAGCGCCGAGCGCCTGGAGTATGACTGGTCCGGGAGTGGGGCGTGGGGGAAGCAGCCGCACTGCGATTGCCTCTGCCGCTGCTCGTGGGGGTGGTGGCAGCGGTGGAGGCCTTTCCAGGTTTGACGTTCCCTCAGGGCCTCCTGCCGCGTAGTTCAAGTGGAAGGCGGATTTCGCGCCCATGCCTGCAGCCGAGGGGATGCTTCTCGAGTGGATGGCAGAGCCACGTGTTGGGCTGCTGTGGGACTTGGATGTGGTCAGATGCCAGCTGGCACAAGCAGACGTGATGAGGATTCGCGATCTGGCTGATTCAAGTGGTGGTGCTACAACCGCTGCTGCTACAGCCGCTCGAGCGACCACCTCTCGTGCTTCCACAGCCACTGGTGCTACAGCCGGTGGTGGTGGTCCCAAGCCCTTCTTCTGGTGGTGCTGCTGGCAGTGCAGCGCGTGTTGGGCCGCCTACCGCCGCTGCCTCGCCATGGTCGTATTCCTCGTGCTTATAGCGAGGCTTCCCCGTGCAGTCACACTCTGGCGCCTGCACATGAGGTCCTGCTACAATGTCCTCCCCGCCCTGGCGAATCTGCTGAACGCGGGGAGGCAGATCAAGGGGGTGGGGGGAAGGCAGGCCGAGAGGCAGACGAGTAGGCAGGTGGGTAAGGGGGGAGGGAAGCAGGCGAGTGGAAATGCGGAGGAGGATTGCTTTGGATCGATCCTGGTGCAGGTGCTTGGGGTGAAAGGGAAGAAGGAACTGGAGTCGGGCTTTGCTGCTCATGTGCTGCCGCTTCTGCCGGGGGGGAGACGGGCGCATGGAGGTATGAGAGGGGGGGCGGGGAGTGGAGGAGGGGGAGGTGGAGGAGGAGGGACTGGTTCAGTGAAAGGAGAAGAGTGGAGGGAGGGGTTGAGAGGGGTGGAGTGGGATGAGTATGTGGAGCAGATGGGGGAGATTATCTCCCATGGAGGGCTGGAAGCTGAACAGTACAGGTGCAGCTGCAGGCAGTGCGGACGAGAACACGAGGGCGCAGGGGGGAGTGGGGATAGTGCTGCTGGTAATGGTGGTGGTACTGCGAGTGGCATGGTCATAACTGGTGTTGACCCGACTGACTTTGCTCTCCGAGCTGCGTTCGCACTCTGTATGCCGCGCTTTGCCATCTACGGCGTTATGGCGTTTACCGGGGCGTGCAGTAACAGGTACAAAGATCGTGTGGAGGACGCTGCTGTGGAGGCAGCCAGGCAGCAGCTGGCAGAGAGGCTCGCAGAGAGAGCAGAGGAGTCTGGAAAGGGGAGTGTGGTGGAGGGGGGAGAAGGAGTTAGCAGTGAGAACAAAGCGGATGATCTCAAATCAGAGAAGCTAGCAACAGCAACAGCAGGAGGAGGAGGGATAGCAGCAGCAGCAGTTTCTTCCCCTTCTCCCCGTCCTGCTCCATCTGCTGCTGCTCCCCCTGTTGCTGCCACCGGTGCAGCAAGCAGAGCTGCCCGCCTCGTGCCAGTCATCAGTGACCCAGCAGTGACACTCTTCACGTACCGAGCTGCCTGTATCCTTCAGTGGATGCGCGTTCAAGGCCCCAGGCTCAACCCCCCCAGCTACTGCACCCGAACCAACCCGGAAGCCCCAGCCCTGGCGCTCCCGCACCCGGCGCACGATCTCCCGAGCCTGCTGGTCAGGTTCGGCGCCATCCCCAAGCCGGTGGGCGCGGCAGAAGGTTTGGCGGGTTGTGGAGGAGGAGTTTGGGGGTGGGAGGAGTTCCCAGTGGGGGACAGAGATGCTCTGAAGGCGCATGGCTGTGGCCCTGCCCTGGGAGGCACGGAAGGGGTAGGAGGGGTAGAAAAGGGAACTCCAGGGTCTGTGAATGGGGAGTTTTTGGGGGTTAATACCTTCCGGACAGGCAGTTTCCGGGATCTGTGTTTGACTGGGAGGAGATGCTGAAGGAATTCAATGTGGTGGCTGCACAGGGTCTGCAGGAACATGGGGCAGTGAGAAGCGCAGCCACCACGAGCGCAGCAGAGGGCGTGCAGGAGTATCGAGCTGCTAGGGCTCTGATTGACAGCAGCACACACACTCCCGCGTTTCCGACCCTCGCGGACCGCGTCGAGGAGTTTCTGAGAAGGTTCTCGCCAAAGCGGCAGGCGAAGGAGGGGCGTGGCGGGCCACTGGCCCGAGCAATCACCGACTCGGTGCTACGACTCCACCTGGTGGGGGCAGAGACTAGCAGCAGCGGTGTCAGCAGCAGCAGCAGCAGCAGCAGCAGCACTAGCAGGGGAGTAAAGGGAGGGAAAAGGGATATGAGCTGGGCGGCGCTGGCCCTGGGGGTGTATTCCCCAGGCAAGTTAAAGCCCATGCTGAGATCCCCCCGGGAGGTGGATGCGTTTCTGGAGTTCATGGCGGCCATGACCACCCTCACGCCCGCCTGCAACGCCTGCCAGTTCTGTCTCAACGTGTTCAACCAGTCTGTCACCCCCGCCGCCATTGTTGCCTCCTTCGCCTTCCGCCCCTCCTCGGCGCTCCTGCGCTGCTTCCTCTCGGTCTACAGCCAGCACTCCTCTCAGGTGAGAATTCTCCCGGATAGATAGAGAGGGCGATGGGTGGTGGTGTACCACCTGAGGGTTTTGTAAGACGATGGATTGACAGCTAGAGAGCTAGATTGACAGTTAGAGATGACAACCATAAAGCTAGATTGACTGTTGGAGACGGCGATGGCTGGTGGTACACCACCTGGGTGTTATGGAGCCCCAGGTTGGAGCCATTGTAACGAGCTGACTTGTCTCCCGGACAGTTAAGGAGGGCGATGGCTGGTGGTACACCACCGGGGTGTTTTGTAATATATCAGATAAGCCATCAAGCTAGATAGAATGTCCATCGTCGGTGCTCCTGCGCTGCTTCCTCTCAGTCTACTGCCAGCACTCCTCTCAGGTGAGAGTTCTCCCAGACGGTTAAAGAGGGCGATGGGTGGTGGTGCACCACCTGAGGGTTTTGTAAGACGAAGGATTGACAGCTAGAGAGCTAGATTGACAGTTAGAGATGACAGCCATAAAGCTAGAAAGACAGTTGGAGAGTGCGATGGCTGGTGGTGCACCACCTGAGTGTTTTGTAAGACGATGGATTGACAGCTAGAGAGCTAGATTGACTGTTAGAGATGACAGCCATAAAGCTAGATTGACAGTTGGAGACGGCGATGGCTGGTGGTACACCACCTGGGTGTAATGGAGCCCCAGGTTGGAGCCATTGTAACGAGCTGACTTGTCTCCCGGACAGTTAAGGAGGGCGATGGCTGGTGGTACACCACCTGGGTGTAATGGAGCCCCAGGTTGGAGCCATTGTAACGAGCTGAATTTTCTCCCGGACAGTTAAGGAGGGCGATGGCTGGTGGTGCACCACCGGGGTGTTTTGTAGTATAACGGATAAGCCATCAAGCTAGATAGGGTGTCCCTCGTCGGTGCTCCTGTGCTGCTTCCTCTCACTCTACTGCCAGCACTCCCCTCAGGTGAGAGTGCCCCTATACAGATAGAGATATGGCTGGTACGCTATCCTGGTGTTTCGTATTTCGATAGATGAGTCATCAAGTTTGATCAAATGTCCCTCGTTGGTTCTTCTCCCCTGCATCCTCTCGCTCTCTATTGCGCGCACATCCTTCAGGTGAGAGTTCCCCTAGACCATAACTGGTACGCCGTCTGTTTGTTTTGTAGTATGATGAATAAGCCATGAAAGCTTTGTTAAATGTCCCTCCTTTGGTGCTTCTACACTGCACCCTCTTGCTCTACCTCACTCGCTCCCTATGCCCACACCCCCCTCAGAGGAGGGAGCTCCTGGACACGCTCGGGATCCCCCCCTTGCCGGACCTGCTGCCGGACCGGCTCGTGGCTCCTCTTCTCGAAGGCGTGGTGGAGCACAAGCGCCTGCACTTCCTCTACACCGCATCCATGCTTCTGTACTGGAACAACGGCGAGATGCAACACATGGAGATGAGCAAAACACATGGGGCGCTGAGGACGGAAGAGGAGCTGAGGGAGTTGGAGGGGAGCGGGTGGGAGGGGAAGGAGGAGTGGCTGATCCGGGAGGAGGTGGACACGTGGCGCAACGCGCTGTTCAGATCGTGGCCTGTCTTTGAGCTTTCACGTGAGGCAGCGCTAAGCTGGGCGTGGTCTGGGGAGGAGGAGAGGGTGAGGGAATGGTGTGTGGAGATCAGGCAGAAGGAGAGGGAGTTTGAGAAGATCAGTAGGTGGAAGGAGAGGGTTCTAGTGGATAAGATGCATGCTGCTGCTGCTAGTACAGCTGGTCCCGCTGCTGCTGGGGGTGAGAGTGAGGTGGGAGGCGGGCTGAAAATCGCGCCTGCGTACCTAGTACCGTGGGTGGGGGGGGTGAACCCGTTTGCATGCCTGCGGGAGATGCTGCTGGGGGAGACGTGCTACTGGGAGCTCTCAAACGGGCGGAGGGTTGGGGTGATACCTGGGGCAGACTCTTCTGCTGCTGCCGCATCAAGCACAAGAGCAGCAGCAGCAACAGGGGGAGGAGCAGGGGCAGCAGGGGGGGTGCGTTTCTGTGCCTTCCCGGGTTGTGGCAGGGCAGAGGGGCCGGGGAGGCCGCCATTGAAGGCTTGCTCGCGGTGCGGCCAGGCTGCTTACTGTGGCAGGGAGTGCTAGGAGGCCCACTGGAAGGTGCACAAGCTGCAGTGTCAGCCCAAATGATAGCCAGGCGGCCAGAATGCTGGGGAAGCATTCTGAACTGTTGCGCGCTTGCTTGCGGTGCAGCCAAGCTGCCTGCTGTGACAGGGACTGCCAGCTCGCCCATTGGAAGGTGCACAAGGTGCCAGCGCAAGGGGTAGGATGGGGAAGGAGATGGGTTGAACACGTGTGGCGAAACAGAAATGTGGATGGTGCTCTATGCTGCCAGAGGACAGGTCAGGACGGGAGGGGGAAGGGAGGAGTGGGAGACTGTGAGGATTGTCCTTACTTGCAACTCGCCGACGAGTTTGGGCGAGCTGATGGTGAAATTTCAAGATTTAGAAACCATGGAAGCTTATAGCAAAAGCAGGGAAGAAGCAGTTAGGCGTTCGCATAATGGCAAGCCATTGATGTAGAATGCATCAGCAGCAAGGGAGAAACGACATGGACTCTGCTTGTATTGTGGGAAGAAAGGGTATGAAGAGGCTCATTGCTTTGTGAACCCGAATAGCATCAACTTCAAGGGGAGAATACTACCGTCATCGCCCGGATATAAGACATATATGTCTTGTCTCGTACAGGGGCAAAAATGCTTGATTTATCTTGTAAACGGGATGATTTATCTTGTAAAGTCTTATAAATGGAAAAAATTTTAAGTTGGCTGTAACACTTGCAAAGTGTGTAGAGACCACCCAAGGACCAGATTCATTGAAACAGGCCGACCTCGGGGGTGATGCATGCAGCGCCCACACTTGCCACGTGAGAGAGCTGCCACCGCTGGCAACATTCCTCTGTGCTGGCAGCATCTAATGATGTTGCCAGCGTCGTTTTGCTGCCAGCAGCGCAGGGATGCTTCCAGAACGCTGCTGGCAGCACGTTGGCAGCGTGAGGGCTGTCCTCTACGAAGAGATGCCTCGTAGAGGAGCGGCTCGACACCTGTGGATGGGGCACTCTGGCTGGGGGGGTAGTCGGGCTCTCACTTCATTTCGGGCTCAAGGAGGTTGAATACTCGTCTCAACCTTGCTCTCGGCAGGCTCTCTAACCATGCGCAGCAAAGTACCAGTAGGCAAGTCCTCACCTCGTCCTCACGTGCAGGTGAATAACTACGGGCGAATCGACTCGCCCAGCGATGACATCCGTGTAGCCATGGCGAAGAACGCGAGCAAGGCGGGAAGTCCTACCGCCGCCTCCAGTGCGAGCTGTGACGGGGACGACGGAGACGAAGCAAACGGCGACGACGCCGAGGAGGATTGGCCGGAGAACGGCCACGACGACAGCGCTTCGGGCGACGAATTAGGTCCTGCCGACATCGAGGAGGACGAATGGTGGAATCGGCCGGTCGGGAGCGACGACGAGGTGGAAGAGTGGCGGGCTGGTGATTCCGACAACGACGGAGGTGAAGATGCGCATGGTGACAACGCGGAGGCAGCGGCGGATGCACAGGAAGCGGCGGTGGATGCGAATGAGGTGGCTGACGACGAGGCGGGGGCGGAACTTGAGACAATTGCGCCTGCGGATGCGGCCGCAATTGCGGATGCGGATGCTGTGGCGGAGTCGGACAAGGTTGCTGCGGATGCCGTCTTATTTGACGAGGAAGGCGGCGACGACGACCCATGGAGCCTTGGGACCGACGACGACATTCCGCTACTGAAGCGGAGGTTGCGCCATCGCCTACAGTCCAAGTCGAAGCGGGCCTGCGTGGTGCTCTCTGACGACAACGGTCCGGGGGAGGAGCGTCGCCCGATACTCACCGCTGCGGAGAAGAGGAAAGCCAAGGTCGCGGAAGCCCCTGCTAAGGCCCCTGCTAAGGCCCCTGCTCGTCGCCGCACAAGCAACAAGAAGCGGACATCCGACGGAGACCCGGGATGCAGCAAGGGTGCAGCTAAGAAGAAGGCGAAGAAGGCGCCAAATCCTGACGACATCGTCGTGAACGAGAGGTTGGGCAGCGACGATGAGTACGCGGCGGCGGCGGGCCCGATTCCCACGTTCCTTGAGAAGGTCACGCCGAAGGACCCCACCCTCCATAATCCCAACACCCGCCCACCTTCCCCTCGCAGCAAAGACACTACGAAGAAGCGCCGCAGTTGGACTGTGCGTGAGAAGCTTAAGTGGGCGCGCCGCTATCAGGAGCTCGGCTCCTTGAAGAAGACGAGCGTGGAGTCAACCGCGTCCATCGCCTGCATCAGACGCTGGTGTGCGGAGGCGGAAGCGGGCGTCTATAAGGACGCAGCTAACTGCCGCAAGCGGATGCACGGGGGGGGCGCCACTCACACTACCCCGACATGGAGGCAGCATTGTACCGCTACATCTGCCTTCAGCGCGCTAACGGGGTGGCCATCTCGGTGAAGGACACCTAGAAGTGGAGCCGCGAGTGGATGAAGAAGCATTACCCCGCCAAGAACTGGAACGCGAGCTCTCACTGGAGCTAGCGTTTCCGTGACCGCTGGAACCTGGTGATGCGGGTGAAGACCAAGGTCGGCCAACGTCTGTCGGCAGGTGGGTATTGAAGGATTTTGTCTGGCGCTCTATTGAATGCATGTACCTCACCCAGTGTCTAACCATCCCGTGCTTCCGTTGCGCTTGTCCCGTTTGCAGAGTGCGCGAAGGACTGCGAGTCCTTCTGGAAGTTCGTGCGCATCAACAGGGCGCCGCACAACATCGACCTGGCCCGCATCATCAACGCGGACCAGACTCCACTATTCGTGAAGATGCCAGCCGAACGGACGATCGAGCACCGTGGCGCGCGCTCGGTCCCAATCCGCACTGCAGGCTACCAGAAGACGCGTTTGACGGTGATGCTCGCGTGCACTGCATCCGGGGAGAAGCTGCGGCCGTGGGTGTGGTTCAAGATGAAGAACGTCCCCAGCTGTGAGATTTCGGAAGGTAAGCGTAATGAATTCAACCGTGCGACTGCCTGATGAGCGTGCCCCACTGTGCTGATGCCCGTCTGTCCCTTGTGTGCCTGGCATGAATCGTGGTCCAAGCACAGGACAACGGGTGGATGGACGAGAGCGCTGTGCAGACTTGGCTGACCAAGGAGGTGCTGCCCCATCTGAACCCCCAGCGCGGCCAGAACGCAAGGCGGGCGATGCTGGTGTTGGACTCCTACCGCGGTCACATCACCCAGACCATGATTCAGTCGTACCGCACGCACAGCATCACCCCTGCAGTCATCCCAGCGAGTTGTACGAGCCAGATTCAACCCCTGGACGTCTCCATCAACCGGTGCTTCAAGGCTGCTGTGCGAGCGCGCTACGCAAGGTGGTTCATGCGTGAAGGGATTCACCTGAAGACGAAGAAGGGTGAGTTGGTCCTTCATTTACGGTTTTATCCGTGTCCTTGTCTTAAACATGCCCCTTCATATCCGTGTCTCTAATATCTCGCTGCCCCGTCCTCTGTCCCATCCGCAGGGAAGCTGCGGAGACCTCCACACCCCGTGGTGCTGCAGTGGATCGCGGAGGCTTGGGATCAAGTCCCCAAGCAGATCATCATCGACACGTTCCGCCACTATGGGATCTCGAGCAAGCTGGACGGAACGGAGAACCACCTGGTGATGTCTCACCTGCGCGCCAGGAGCACCACCGATGTCTCCGCGGACATGTCCCTCGGGGGGATCACAGGCGAGAACACGCGCCTGCTCGGTCGGGCTCCAGAGGAGGAGGAGGAGGAGGAGGAGGAGGAGGAGGAGGAGGAGGAGGAGGAGGAGGAGGAGGAGGAGGAGGAGGAGGAGGTGATGCAGACGGAGGGCGTGCGGGAGGTGGCCGTGGCAACCGGCCTGGAGGTGCTGTACCAGGAGACCCCCAACTACCGCGGAGCGGCGGCCGAGGCTGACCGCATGATCGAGCCTAGGGAGATGGCTAGGCATGCCTGGCGAGTGCAAGACCTGGGTGTAGAGCCTGTTGTTAGTGCAGGTGATGAGGCGGTGACTGAGGGGGGTTAGGTAGAAGTAGAGATTCATGACTGTATGCATGTACCCCCCCAAAGTAAGGAAGGCTCGTTTAGAAGACACCCCCTGTTTATAAGAAAACCCCTAAACCCTGGTTCTGATTATTAGACATATATGTCTTATCTCGTACACACAAATAGGTGTCGTATAAAAAGGCTAGCCTGTTTATAAGAAGCACCCGTATAGTAGACAACCCCTGTCTACTATTCAACACTGTCGTATATCCGAGCGATGACGGTATATTTCCCCATTGCAGCAATTGCGGATATGATGGACATTCGGAAACATGTTGCCCTTGTCATGAATAGCATTTTGAGACTTCAAAAGCCAATGCACTTGATAGACTAAGAAGCACAAAGTAGAAATGAAACATCCCTGTCTGAAATGTTCCCACTGGATGAGAATGGAATGTACGATAGCTTGCAGGAGTGTAATACGATATTAAATGGTGCACAAGCAAGCTCTCCCCTTCCTTCCTGCTGTTGACTACCTCTCTCACGCATTTCTCACTGACACAGCTCGGCAAATATAGGGTGTTTAGGGCCTCAGCCCTAAACATCTTGCCGCACGGTGTTTAGGGCTTATGCTTCCCCAAATATATGCCAAACGAATGGGGTTTATATTTTGTACCATAGCAATGTTGTTTTTTCTGGGTTAAACGAATGTTTTTCTGGGTAATTTACGATGACGACTCACTAGCGAATTCCGTCAGCCCCAGGCCAGTAGGTGGTGACCTGGCGAAAAGGCCAGGCTCGGCCTACCTGCCTAGGTGTGCTGGTTGCTTTGGGGGTACGTAGTAGGGGCGCGACTGACGAGGCCCCAAGTCGGCCACTTTACTGCTACTCCGGGGCCCCTTTCTGATCTTTTCCCAACTCCAAGGGGGTCTACAACACCATCCCATCCCCACTTGAGAATTTGGAACCTTCAAAGACACGAATTCGTCCTTTTCCCGCCAAATCTCTCTCTTCAACGAGATCTCCATTCCGCTCTCATCAGTTCGGTTCCTGAATGCCGATTCTTTGCCTTGGTTCACAGCATCAGTGAGTCGCTACATTTCTTCCATAGACAACAACGAACTAAGTTTTCCGCATTGCGCAGTGGGCCCGTGTAACAGGATGGAATTCACCATGCGAGATGCATGGGAATTTCTGAACGGGTCCTTGCCTAGCTACCTACGAACTGCACCACTTGCTAGCCTAGAACGTACTCCCGTATCCCTGTCACGAAGAATAGTACAGCAGGGCATGGCATCGAGGCGCTATGCCAAGATGCCATGCTAGATTGAGTGGCGATGCGGTTTTCCTCCCAAGTCGCCATCTCTCTTCCTAGCATAAATATCTCTTCCTATTTCTTGTTGTATCATCCTTAATTCTGGAATCTACTTTCTACTTCTTCATCTCTCATCTAAGACTCCAGAGTTAGGCATCTCTCACTAGCCTAGCTTCTTCTCTATTCTGCTGCGATTACTCTTCCTCTCTTCTTCTAGCTACGGCGCCACCTTCGCCTTGGCAGGCTCGGCCAGCCTCGCCTAACGTGGTTGCGTGCCGTAGCCTTGTTTCAGCCCGCCTTTCATGCTGAATGTGATCATCAACACAACGACTGATAGGACGAGCATCGCTTCTGGGTCTCGCTAGTTCTACTTGGTTGCAGTAGCATTCGTATCTTTCCACATCTCCCACTCGCTCCGAATTGATGAATGTCCTGAGTGCGATACAAAATTCCTACCTTAACTGCTGATGGAAACGGAAAAGAGTGGCTTGGTTTCTTGCTACCCGGTTACTTGGTGGCTTGAGCCTGATGCTTGAGCAATGCCTTGTATCATGGAGTCCACGATTCGATTTAGAGTCGTAAAGTCTAGTTGAAAAACAGAAACAAGGAGAGCGAATCGGAGGAGTCTTGCTATGTACACCAGCTCTGCCCGGTGCTTGAGCATTGCTTTGTATCATGGAGTTCACGATTCGATTTAGGGTGCCGGCCACTTTGCTTAGAAACACTTGTAGCAATGGCGACGCCACTTCCTTACCCAGCGGCATCAATACCAGCAGCATTACCACCACAAGCAACAGTAGCGGCAGTACCAATACGCAGCCAGTAGCTTCTTCCCACGTGGATTATCCCGTGTCCGTTGATCCGCAGGAGCCACTCCAATCGGCGTTCAACAGGCTGTTTCAATCCCACCTCCCGCACTGCTGCCTGCCGAGTCAGCAGACACGTCAGCAGCAGGATGACGTGAATAAGGCCGACCAAAAGTATCCGACAGAAGAAGAGAAGCAGGCTGTTCGGTTTATGGCTGTCGGGCAAGTGGTGTACCTATTGCCTGAAGCATCAGCGGAAAAGGCCAAGCTTAAAGCGGGTGCAGTGCTCAAAGTGCTTACGGTAAAATCGAGGAATGCGGGGGAGAAGGAAAAACCAAACTCGGCGGGTACTTCTGCGAGCAGCAGCAGCAACAGCGGTGCTGCGAATGACACACCAGCCATGGCCACTGTGTGTGCTCCGGTCAACCTTGTATCCGCACCTCCTCCTGCTGCTACGCCTGTAGCTACTTCTATGCCCTCCCCTCTCCCTTGGCCTATCGTTTCACCCGTCGATGCGCCTGCTTCTGCTCCCGCCTCCGCGCATGCCTCTGCGCCTATCGCCGCGTCTGTCTCCGCTCCACCGGCCCCGACCCCTGCCACGAATGGCGGCAGCAGCAACACCATCACCAACACCAGCAGGCGCGGCAGCAGCAGCCGTCGCATCCGACCCAGTATCACGAGCCCGCTAGACTACAAACCGATCTCCCGCCTGCACATGGTGCACCACGTGGATGTCAACCTCCCCTGGAACCACTCCCTCTGCGCCTGCTGCCTCTCGCGCATCCTCCACCCCGCCCCCCCCACCACCTACCAAACCTCCACCCCCAACGCCCTCCGCCTGCACCTGCAACAGCCGGTGGATGGGAGCATCAAGCCGTGCCCAGCCAGCAACAACCGGCCGTCCCAAGCCATCCTTGCATATTCCGCCACGGTTAGAGTGCAGAGCCTCTGGGCTACCATGGGCCCGGGTGTGGGGCGCGGGGGGAGCGGGCGCACTGCGCTTGCCGCGGCTGCTGCTCGTGCTTCTAGGGTTGACATTTCCTCAGGGCCTCCTGCTGTGCAGTTCAAGTGGAAGGCGGATATTGCGCCCATGCCCGCGGCCGAGGGGATGTTTCTTGAGTGGATGGCAGAGCCACGTGTCGGGCTGCTGTTGGACCTGGATGTGGTCAGATGCCAGCTGGCAGATATGATGAAAATTCACGATCTGGTAGCAGCAAGTGGTGGTGCTACAGCCGGTGGTGGTGCTACAGCCGGTGGCGGTGCTCCCAAGCACTTCTGGTGGTGCTGCTGGCAGTGCAGCGCGTGTTGGACCGCCTACCGCCGCTGCCTCTCTGTTGTCGTTTTCCTCGTGCTTGTAGCGAGGCTTCCCCGTATAGTCACACTGTGGCGCCTGCACATGAAGTTCTGCTACGTGGCCTTCCCAGCTCTGGTGAATCAGCTGAACGCGGGGAGGCATGTCGGGGGGGTGGGGGGCAGGCAGGCGGAACAGCAGGCGAGTAGGCAGGCGGGGAAGGGGGGAGAAAGGCAGGTGGGTGGGGAAGCGGAGGAGGATTGCTTTGGATCGATCCTGGTGCAGGTGCTTGGAGTGAAAGGAAAGAAGGAACTGGGGTCGGGCTTTGCTGCTCATGTGCTGCCGTTGCTGCCAGGGGGAAGACGGGCGCACGGAGGTATGCGAGGGGGGGCGGGGAGAGGAGGGGGAGTAGGAGGAGGGATTGGCTGGGTGGAAGGGGGAGAGGAGTGGAGGGAGGGGTTGAGAGGGGTGGAGTGGGATGAGTATGTGGAGCGTGTGGGGAAGATTATCTCCCATGGAGGGCTGGAGGCTGAACAGTACCGGTGCAGCTGCAGGCAGTGCGGAGAAAACGAGGATGCATGGGGGAGTGAGGATGGGGGCAGCAGGCATCAAGGCAATGGCACGGCTGCTGCTAGTGGTGCTGGTACTGGTGCTGCTGGCAGTGGTGGTGTTGCTGGCAGTGGTGGTGGTGCGGGCAGTGGCATGGTCATAACTGGCGTTGACCCGACTGACTTTGCTCTCTGGGCCGCCCTGACGCTCTGTGTGCCGCGCGCTGCGGTCTATGGCGTGCAGGCGTTTACCGATGCATGCAATAACAGGTACAAGGAGCGCGTGGAGGACGCTGCTGTGGAGGTAGCCAGGCAACGGCTCGCAGAGAGGGCAGAAGGGGAGAGGGGGCAGCAGGGCAGAAGCCGACAGAGGGGCATGGAGAGCAGGAGGGTGGGGGGGAGAGGAACAGAGGGGAAGGCGAAAGGACAGGGGCGGGAGGAGCCGTAGCAGGAGCTGCTAGCACTACTGGTGGTGCCGGCACTAGTGCTGCTAGCACTGCTGCTAATTTTCGTCTCATGCCAGTCATAAGTGACCCAGCAGTGGCACTCTTCACGTACCGTGCCGCCTGCCTCCTTCAATGGGTGCGAGTGCACGGCCCCAGGCTCAACCCCCCCAGCTACTGCACCCGCACCAACCCGGAAGCCCCAGCCCTGGCGCTCCCGCACCCAGTGCATGACCTCCCGAGCCTCCTGGTCAGGTTCGGTGCTGTTCCCAAGCCTGTGGGCGCGGCAAGTGCGGAAGGCTCAGCCACTAGTTGTGTTCCGGGGTGGGAGGAATTTCCAGCGGGGAACAGAGGGACGCTGAAGGCACATGAACGTGCATGTGGAGTCCCGGTTGGGGCAGGGGGAGTGGGGGCAGGGGGAGAAGGGGGTGAGTTCTTGGGATTGAATACCTTTCAAATAGGCAGCTTCCGGGACTCTGTGTTCGACCGAGATGAGATGCTGAAAGAATTCAACATTGGATCAGCCAAGTGTCTGCAGGAGAGGGGGATTGCCACGAGCCCAGTAGAGAACGTGCAGGAGTATGGAGCTGCCAAGGCTCTGAGTGACAGCAGCACGCTCTCTCCCGCGTTCCCGACCCTCGCAGACCGGGTCAAGGAGTTTCTGAGAAGGTTCTCGCCGAAGCGGCAGGCGAAGGAGGGGCGCGGGGGACCGCTGACCCGAGCAATCACCGACTGGGTGCTGCGACTCCACCTGGTGGGGGCAGAGACTAGCAGCAGCAGTGACAGCAGCAGCAGGGGGGGAGAAGGAGCGAGGAGGGATATGAGCTGGGCGGCGCTGGCCCTGGGGGCGTATTCCCCGGGCAAGTTAAAGCCCATGCTGAGATCCGCTCAGGAGGTGGACGCTTTTGTTGAGTTCATGGTTGAAACGACGAACCTGACGCCCGCCTGCAACTGCTGCCACATGTGCTTTAACATGTTCAACCAGGCCGTTACCCCCGCCGCCCTTGTTGCCTCGTTCGCCTTCCGCCCCTCCTCGGTGGTCCTCCGCTGCATGCTCTCTCTCTACCGCCCACGTTCCCCTCAGGTGAGATACCTCCTAGGCCCTTCAATGTGTGTAAAGCAACTTGAAACTCTTCCTGTTAGTGCCCCTCGTCTGTGCTCCTCCGCTCCGTGCTCTCTCTCTACCGCCCGCGCTCCCCTCAGGTGAGAGTTCTCCTAGAGTTCTCTTCAGATAGAGGTGCCTCCTAGACCCTTTGGATCTTTAATAACGGTGACTGATAATTCATGAACGTTGGATAGAATGCCCTTCGTCCTTGCTGCTCCGCTGCATGCTCGTTCTCTACCACCCACGCTCCCCTCAGGTGAGAGTCCTCGTAGGCCCTTCGATGTATCCTTCTCCTCTGTCCTTCTCCTCTATCCTTCTCCTCTATCCTTCTCCTCTATCCTTCTCCTCTATCCTTCTCCTCTCTCCTTCTCCTCTATCCTTCTCCTCTCTCCTTCTCCTCTATCCTTCTCATCCTTCATTCTCCTCTCTCTCCTTCTCATCCTTCATTCTCCTCTCTCCTTCTCATATTTCATTCTCCTCTCTCCTTCTCATCCTTCATTCTCCTCTCTCCTTCTCATCTTTCATTCTCCTCTCTCCTTCTCATCTTTCATCCTCCTCTCTCCTTCTCATCTTTCATCCTCCTCTCTCCTTCTCATCTTTCATTCTCCTCTCTCCTTCTCATCTTTCTTTCTCCTCTCTCCTTCTCATCTTTCATTCTCCTCTCTCCTTCTCATCTTTCATTCTCCTCTCCCCTTCTCATCTTTCATTCTCCTCTCTCCTTCTCATCTTTCATTCTCCTCTCTCCTCCTCATCTTTCATTCTCCTCTCTCCTTCTCATCTTTCATTCTCCTCTGTCCTTCTCATCTTTCATTCTCCTCTGTCCTTTCTCATATTTCCTTCTCCTCTCTCCTTCTCCTCTCGCCTTCTCCTCTCGCCTTCTCCTCTGTCCTTCTCCTCTGTCCTTCTTCTCTGTTCTCCCTCCACCGCCCACACTCACCCCTTCAGATGAAAGAGCTCCTAGACACGCTCGGGATCCCGCCCCTGCCGGACCTGGTCCCGGACCGCCTCGTGGCTTCTCTTCTTGAAGGCGTAGTTGGGCACAAGCGCCTGCACTTCCTCTACACACAAGGCACCTTGAGAAAAATCATGTTCTTCTGCCCGTCTGCTCTGTCCTTCTCCCTTCTCCCCCTCTCACCCTCCACCGCCCACAAACACCCCCCTCAGATGAAAGAGCTTCTGGACACGCTCGGAATCCCACCCGTCCCGGACCTCGTTCCAGACCGCCTCGTGGCTCCTCTTCTCGAAGGCGTGTTGGAGCACAAGCGCCTGCACTTCCTCTACTCTGCATCCATCCTTCTCTCCCGAGAGGGCGTCGTGAAGGATATCATGGAGCTGACTAGAGGAGACGGGGTGGCGAGGAGTGAAGAGGAGTTGAGACAGGTGGAGTGGAACGGGTGGGATGGGAAGGAGGAGTGGCTGGTGTGGGAGGAGGTGGACAGCTGGCGGAACGCGGCGTTTAGGGCGTGGCCTGTGGTGGAGCTGATGTATGAGGCGCCGCATAGCTGGGCGGCAATTGGGGAGGAGGAGAGGGTGAGGGATTGTTGTGCGGGGATGAGGCGGAAGGAGAGGGAGTGTGAGGAGATTAGTCGGGGGAAGGAGCGGGCTTTGGTGGATAGAATGGTTGCTGCTGCTGCTACTGATGGTAGCGCTGGTAGTGCTGCTGCTGCTGCTGCTTCGGGAAGTGAGAGTGCAGTGGGAGGCGGGTTGAAAATCGCGCCCGCGTACCTGGTGCCGTGGGTGGGGGGAGTGAACCCGTTTGCATGCCTGCGGGAGATGCTGCTGGGGGAGACGTGCTACTGGGAGCTCTCAGACGGGCGGAGGGTCGGGGTGACACCTGGGGCAGGCTCATCTGCTGCTGCCCCTGCTGCGTCGGATTCAAGAGCACCCGCAGGAGGATCAGGAGGAGCAGGGGGGGTGCGTTGCTGTGCTTTCCCGGGGTGTGGCAGGGCGGAGAGGCCCGGGAGGCCGCCATTGAAGGCGTGCTCCCGGTGCAACCAGGCTGCCTACTGCGACAGGGACTGCCAGAGGGCTCACTGGAAGGTGCATAAGCTGCAGTGCCAGCCTAAGTGATAGCAGAGGGGAAGGGGAAGGGGAAGGGGAAGGGTTGGGAATAAGTGTGGCTATTCAGAACTGCAAGCGGTCAGGTCTGCCTGGCTGCCTGCTGCAACAGGGACTGCCAGAAGGCCCACTTGGGGGGAGGGAGAAGGGGGTGGGGGGGGGAGAGAGAGGGGAGAGGGGGGTAGGAGAGGTTGAGTTTGCAACAGGGACTTGCTTGTTGCCACATTTCGGCTTGTAACAGAACTTTGTTAACCTTGCGAGTCAAATAACGTAATCAAAAGAGCTATAACGGGACAAGCAGTAGTGAATGTGATAGTTTTGGTTCTACCCAGACAAAAAATATTTGTGCAGAAATGTGATGGTCAAAACCTGCAATTGTGTATGAGGTGTACATTTGTGCACAAGAGTACACTCTATAGTCCAGCTTCCAGCCTTCGGTTGAGAGGAATGTGAGAGATGAATATTGACGGACTTCGGTGGACCGAGTCGGTGACTGGTGGACTTCAGTGTCGTATCTTGAGTACGGTTCCGGTCGGTCGGGCATGAGTATCTTGCCAGCTGGTGGGGTGTGAGTTCTGGTTCCTTTCGCTCACTTCGTGACTAGGAATTGTACAGGTTACACGGGGCGCCGAATGTCGTGATTTCTTCGCTAGCGTGTGGTCCTGCTAATTGTTACGAGGTTCTACGGTTAAGCTTGAACAGAACCGGTTCTGTGGAAATGCCCATCCAGCAACGCATTTCGTGGTGGTTGCGTCTGCATGAGGCGCACGTTACGCGAGGCCCTTGAGCATTCCGAATGAATGGTGCTGTTCGCCAGCAAATCGTTTCTTCAACAGAAAACGATGGCATCAGCATCGCGACCGCATATGGAAACGGGGCGGAACCCTCCTCCGAGGTTTGGGCGAAATGCCGCCCGAGAAACTACGCGCGCCCGAAAGGCGAGATTTCTCAACCGCATCGGGAAGGTCCATCCCCACCTTCCCCCCAATGGCGCGAAATTTGCTCATCCCTGACCCTTGTGCTGCCCGCTGGCCAAAAATTGCTCAACGTGGGTTAAAAACGCAAATAAAACACACCCCGCTCAAACACAACCCCCGCCCCATTGCTCATATTTCCTTCACGCACTTGACTTGTCACTTGAGCCACCTCCCGTGGATTATATCACAGCAGGTTACAACCTCCAGGGCTTTATTTTCCATTCATCCAAACCATCACTCAAGCTCGTAGTTTACTGAAAGTCCCGGCCAGTAGGCGCCACATACGGGAACAACCTTTTGAGGTTTGCGTATATGGAAGCAGATAGTATGAAGGGGGGGATGCTGTTCCAGCAGAGTAAGCTGTTACTGAGGAGGAAGTTGTTATTTCTGAGCATGGAGCCTCATGAGAGCATCATGGACTACGTACATAGGGCGATGCTCTACTACAGCGAATTAAAGGCTATGGGAGCAGCAGAAACTGAAAAAGATGTGATATACTGCATCGTCTCTGGATTGTCGAAGGAGTGGGAGATAGAACGTATCGTCCTTACGTGCACCCGGCCGAAAGCTTGCCAGATTTGATTGGGAAATTGCGGGATTTAGAAACCATGAAAGCTGACAGCAAAAGAAGGGAAGAAGCTGCCAGGCGTAGAAATAATGCCAAGTCCGAGATGGAGAGTGCACCGGCGGCAAGGGGTATAAGACATGGACTCTGCTTCTATTGTGGGAAGAAAGGGCATAAAGCGGCACGTTGCTTTGACAACCCGAACAGCAGCAACTTCAAGGGGGAGAGACGACATGTATGTATACAAGAATGAAGATTCACGGATCCCACATTGCATTGATTGTGGATATGACGGCATTCGAGAATGGATTGCCCCACTCCCCACGGGTGATTGACTAGAAACACAAGTTGGAATGAGACACACACACTGTAGATATGACCACTGTTTTCTGGATAAGATTTGGATGTATGACAGCTTGTAATCAAAAGAGTGTTACAGTATAAGTACTAAAGGGTACGCACAGACATCTCTCCACGAATCCACGTCAGCAGCTCCTTGCTGAAGTCAACGTCCCCCCTAAAAGGTTGTTGACAATGAGCTCCTTGCGAGTTAGGTAAACAGATTACTGAAGTACACTCTACAGTCCAGCTTCCAGCCGTCGTATAACAGCCAGCAGCATCTCCTTTCTACTGAGCCGATACTTGACAGCAAGCAACCGTTGCGGCGACAACACCTGCCCCCTGAACTTGCACTGCATCTCACCCTCCCTCTCTAACTCCCCTCCAACCCCAGCACCGTCACCCCCACTGCTACTGCTGCTCCCACCATCAGCACCACTGGCAGCACTACCACTGCGACCACCACCACCACCGCCAGCAGCACTGCTGCTGCTGCTTCCCATACCACCGCTACCAATTCTTTTCGCTCCTGTCCCATCCACCCCTCCGTCGCTTCCCAGAAGCTTCCCTCCCACACGATCCACATCCTGCAGTAGCCACCAATCGTAGTGCGCCGGCGTGGCCATGCCGATCATCAGCTCGCGGCACCGCCTCACTATAAGCAGCTTCACATACTCCGCTGCAGCCACTGCAGCCTCGTCCTCTGCTGCCTTGGCAGCTCTTAATGCTGCTTTTGCTACATCCTCACCGTCCGTTGACCCTGCAGATCTGCCTGAGCTCCCTCCTGTCTGCACCTCCCCATCATCCCCCAATTCATCATCCACCTCATTCCCTGTTGACTCAGTTGACTCGGTTGACCCTTTCCCCCCAACCCCATCACTCCGGCAAGCTATCCTCCATGCCTTGGTTCGGCAACATCTAGGCCAGAGCAAACCTCCTTTCCCCTCACCCCCACCACCCACCCTCCCCCAACCGCCTCCACTCTTCCCATCTTTCCGCCAACCAGGTGGGCACCTCGGAAACGCACCAGCAGGCAGCGTCCGGTTCGGCGCCGAAGCTGCAAACCGAGCCGCCGCGGCAAGCGCGGCGAGCAGGCTCGGATCAACCCTCCCGGCCGGACGAACATCCGGACCTGCCCGGTACGGCAGGATCTCATACCCAAACGAAGCCCAGCTGTTCATTAAATCCCACCAGAGGTTCCTGTCCTGCTCAAACCCCCGAGAAGCATCGTGCGACGAGGGCCGATCAAGGGCCGCACGGGCATGCTTCCACGCCTGAGTGAAGGAGATGCGGGAGCAGGAAGAGACAGCGGCAGAGGCGACGGCGGAGGAGGCGGCGGAGGAGGAGGCGCCGGCGATGGCTGCGACGGTCATGTGGCGCTGGAGGGAGTCGGAGCGGCAGTCCGTGTAGACGCGGTCGAGCAGCCAGCGCACCGAGTCTTCGAAGGAAGGGAAGAGAGCGAGGCTGTCAAAGGGATTGCCGTCCAGAATGAAACCTGGCGGGTAAATGGGGGTCAACAGTGGGGTCAACGCAAGACAATGGGGGGTCAACGCAAGTCAGAGGGAGTCGGAGCGGCAGTCCGTGTAGAATCGGTCGAGCAGCCAGCGCACCGAGTCCTCAAAGGAGGGGAAGAGAGCGAGGCTGTCAAAGGGATTGCCGTCCAGAATGAAACCTGGCGGGTAAATGGGGGTCAACAGTGGGGTCAACGCAAGACAATGGGGGGTCAACGCAAGTCAAAGGGAGTCGGAGCGGCAGTCTGTGTAGAATCGGTCGAGCAACCAGCGCACCGAGTCCTCAAAGGAGGGGAAGAGAGCGAGGCTGTCAAAGGGATTGCCGTCCAGAATGAAACCTGGCGGGTAAATGGGGGTCAACAGTGGGGTCAACGCAAGACAATGGGGGGTCAACGCAAGTCAGAGGGAGTCGGAGCGGCAGTCTGTGTAGAATCGGTCGAGCAACCAGCGCACCGAGTCCTCAAAGGAGGGGAAGAGAGCGAGGCTGTCAAAGGGATTGCCGTCCAGAATGAAACCTGGCGGGTAAATGGGGGTCAACAGTGGGGTCAACGCAAGACAATGGGGGGTCAACGCAAGTCAGAGGGAGTCGGAGCGGCAGTCTGTGTAATTTCGGTCGAGCAACCAGCGCACCGAGTCCTCAAAGGAGGGGAAGAGAGCGAGGCTGTCAAAGGGATTGCCATCCAGAATGAATCCTGCTTGTGCGTGGTGGGGGGAAGGGGGCGGGAGGTCAGAATAAAGCCTGCTCGGACGAGGCAAGGTTAAAGGGCTTAACAGAGATCAGTGAAGGACAATGGTGGTCAATGGGGGTCAACGGGGGTCAATGGGGGATCAATGGAAGTCAACAGAGGTCAAGGCAAGTCACGAAAAATCAAGGCAGGCCAAGGGAGGCCTGGGAGGAAAAGAGAGATTACCAAAGGTCTGACGGGGCCTCAAGTGCAAGCCGTAAGCTCACTCAATTTAACGGAGTCTGAATTGCAAGCAATTAAGCCTCACTACCACACGGCCAAAGGTATTGAGGCGTCCCAGAGGTTAATACCTGCGCAACTAGCAACGTTCACTCACCATAGTAGAGAAAAAGGTTCTCGTTGCTGCGGGGCCCAAACGATGTGAAGAGCTGCTCTCCCTTCTTGGCGGCCCTATCCCCAAAACTCCATCAGGTGAAAAACCAACAACATGGAGGCTCAGTTGCAAGCCACCAGGCCCACCCACTCACCATAGTAGAGAAAGAGGTTCTCGTTGCTGCGAGGGCCGAAGGAGGTGAAGAGCTGCTCTCCCTTCTTGGCAGCCCGCTTTAGCCGGATCTCCAACACCCCCTCAGATGAGACAGGCTTTGCCATCCAGTCCATCTGCAAGGGAGGGAAGGGGCAGAGGGCGGGGAGCGACTTTTGATGAGCCTCAAGAGTCGTATTAGCCAGATCTCCAGCACCCCCTCAGATGAGACAGGCCTTGCCATCCAGTCCTCTGCGAGGGAGAGAACGGGGGAAGGATGGAAGGTGAGGGGATGGTTGGTGTGTGGGATTGGCATTGTGAGTCAGCATGAGACATCACACACTGTGGTGGGGCATACATACAGGGCAAGATCAGGAAGGTGTAGTCTTGTGCTGACTCACAGGTTTGCTCCGCTGACTCACAGGTTGCCTTGCTGACTCAAATGGGTGTAGTGCTGACTCACATGGGTGCGATGCTGACTCACGTGGTTGTTGTAATGATGGTTGATGGCATCCATGAACGGCATCATCACAAACTGCTCAAACTTGCCCCCCGGCCTGACTGGCAGAGTGAAAGCCCGGCTGTGAACCATTGAAACCGCCCACTCTGGGAGCAAGGGAAAAAGGAGGAAGGGAGGGAGGCAGGTAAGGATGGAGGATGGAGTAAGGAGGGTGGAAAAAGGAAAAAGGAGTGAGGGGAAGGGTGTTAAGAAAATGCTTGATTAAGCATTGAGAAAATGCTTGACCAAGTGGTGGCGGCTTGGATGTCATCCTGGAAAGGGCCCACTTGAGGAGGGAGGGAGGGAGAGCCCACTTGAGGAGGTTCGTGTTGTGTCATTGTCGGAGAAACAGCTCTGCCTGCCACCTGTGAAACAGCTCTGCCTGTCATTTGTCCTGTAATCTGATGCTTTTCCTCTCTTTGGCTTCTTTGTGAAAGGATAACAAACGGAAAGCAACGAGTGTGTGTGTGAGAGTGAATTTACCTGGCCTAGGCTCGAAGCGTGCATTTCTCAATGTGCGCTTCGAGCCTGGGTTGGTGCATCCACATTGGTTCATTGGACTGCACTCCTCGGAACTCTCCTACCAACTTCGCGACACTCTCCCTGGTCCCCAACTACCTACACCCCCGATCTTCACATACAGTCATATTACACTTGAAACTACACCGCAGCAAAACTGGCACCTTATATGCACAACCGTGCATATTCGGTGACATCATGACCAACACGAAATGCTGGATACATTGCTCGCAATGTCGTGATTTGTTTTTCCTGCTAACCAGCTCGCAATGTCGTGATTTGTTTTTCCTGCTAACCAGCTCGCAATGTCGTGATTTGTTTTTCCTGCTAACCAGCTCGCAATGTCGTGATTTGTTTTTCCTGCTAACCAGCTCGCAATGTCGTGATTTGTTTTTCCTGCTAACCAGCTCGCAATGCCGTGATTTTCTTTCCTGCTAACCAGCTCACACTTTTGAGACGTCTCAGAAGTTGTCATGATTTGTTTTTCCTGCTAACCAGCTTGCAAATGGCTACAGCTGATAAACACCTGACAAGCACCCGATTCATAAATTTAATGGAATGCCACTCACTGTACTCATCAAAGGAAAGGGTGGGATGCGTGGAATCACGGTGCTTGTGGTATGTCTCTCTGATCTCCTCGTTCATCCGCTTCACCTGCTCCATGGTCGATGCCCACTGCACCTCTCCCTCCTCCTGATGACACAGCATGACAGAGCAGGACAGGCACATCACAGCAGCAGGGGGAGAAGGAGCAACAGCGGTTGGGAGGAGGTGGTTGGGAGGAGGCTTGGTGCTTGTGATGGAATGTCTCTCTGATCTCCTCGTTCATCCTCTTCACCTGCTCCATGGTCGATGCCCACTGCACCTCTCCCTCCTCCTGCCACCATCAGATAAAAACATACCACGGCAGAGGAACAGAGCGTATGAGCGGGGGGGGAAGAAGCACGGCGCAAGTGAGGTCGAGGTGAGCATGGTTAATCTCCTCGTTCATCGCTCCATTGGCAATGCCCACTGCACCTCTCCCTCTTCCTCCCACCATCATGTGACATAGCACCAGAACACGGCACAGCAGAACAGTGAAAACTTGAAACAGAACAGGGCTTATTGGGCGGTCCCAACTTCTAGCAATCCAGCTGAACGTTGAACGTTGGGTGGTGCTGTCTTGGGTAGTAACAAAGCAGGTCATAACTGATGAAAAAATGAACTGACTGGGAGTGACCAATGGGGTGGACAGGAGTAGGCCAGGGGTTTAACCTTTGTAAGGGGGTCAGTGTACTCACCTCAGGAGGGAGGAAGATGGGCAGAGGAACAGAGGGAGGCAGGGAGCGAATGTAGGGCGCCCAGGGGGAGGCATCACCCTTTGCTCTGCAGAGTTGGTACAGGGGAGATGCGTGGGGGAGCAGGTTGCAAGAGAGAGAGGTGGGGGGACAACAGAGAGATGTTTGGAGGCAGGGAGCGGATGTAGAGCGCTGAGGAGGGGGCATCTCCCTTTGCTCTGCGGGGTGGTACACACAAGACGAGGGTTTGGTTGGTACAAGTGAGATATGGGGGTGGGAGCCACGTGAAAAAAGGAGTGTTTTGAGACGTCTCAAAACACTCCTTTTTTCACGGGGGTGGGAGAAGGTTACAAGAAAGGGAGGTGGGGAGGTGGGGAGATGACAGAGATGTGTGGACTGGACACAAGGAGCGACTTTTGAGACGTCTCAAAAGTCATATGGCTGAAGATGACAGAGATGTGTGGAGTGGACACAAGGAGCGGATGATGTAGGGCGCCTTCCCCTCCCCTCTTTCGAAATCACTTTTGAGAATGTAGGGCGCCTTCCCCTCCCCTCTTTCCCCATTCCCTAGGCCGTCTCCCCGCCCCCCCTCCCCCCCTCCCACCGCCATCACCCCAAGAGGAAAGCACTCACTTCTCTTCAAGAATCCTCAGAGCAACCAGGTCCCACCCAAGCCGCCTCTTCCTCATGCCCACCTCCCTTCGCCCCTTCCCCTCCTTTTCCCCCGTTCCCAGGCCCCCTTTCCCCCCCATTCACCCCCATAACCCTCCACGCAAGCACTCACTTCTCGTCAAGAATCCTCAGAGCGACCAGGCCCCACCCCAGCTGCTTCTCCCTCATGCCCCACCTACATTCGCCCCTTCCATAGCCCTCTTCCCGCCCCCTTTCCCACCCCCATCACCCATCACGCAAGCACTCACTTTTCTTCAAGAATCCGCAGAGCGACCAGGTCCCACCCCAGTTGCTTCCTCCCACCGCCGCCAATGCCGGCCTTAGCAGCCGCCCTCCCCTGCAGCACCCGCTGCCGCATCTCCCTCATCCTCTCCCTCATGCTCCCGCCTCCCTTCGCCCCGCCCGCCCCACCTGCTCCTGCCAATCCTCCTCGTGTTCCCTCTGCATCTCCTTCCTGGCTTGTGTTGAACCACAGGGCTAGAGACATCTGGAGGGAAGTTGTGAATTGCAAGGCACGAAGGAGACGCATGGGATTCACATTTGAGACGTTTCAAAAGTCGCCCCACCCACTCCTGCCACTCCTCGTGTTCCCTCCGCATCTGCTTCCTGACCGGTGTTGAACCAAAGGGCTAGAGACATCTGGAGAGGAGAAGAGTGTTGCAGGCACAAAGGAGAGGCATGGGATCTCGAAAAGGGCAACACTTGTTGACTATAACACTCATTAGTACATTGCACCACATTGCAACCGTAATGCTAGCCAGCATCTCGTGCCTATGCCACAGACTTCGCACCATACGCACCAGACACACCATACGCACCAAACGCACCATCCCCAGTACTCTGTTTCATTTGCAACAAGCGACAACCCTCCATCACAATTGCCTTCCACAACACTCGTCACAGCACTCACTGGTATCTTGCACAGCGTGTCTCCCGAGCTACTTCCATATCCGCCTCTGCAACCAGCCAACCATCAAACGCACCAGATGCACCAAATGCGCCACCCCGATTTCAACTTTTCCCTTCTGTTGCAGGGTGTTTTGAGAATTCTCAAAAACAACCGCACCAGATGCACCAAATGCGCCACCCAATCTCTTCTTTTCCCTTCAATTGCCACAACAGGCGCTCATTCTCTCACTCAACCTGCCTACTTACTGTCACAATTGTAGTAGTACTTATCGGTATCTTGCACACACAGCGTGTCTCCTGCTTTCACATCAGCCTCTGCCACCAAAGAGCTCACACCAAACGCCAACGACACACTAGACTCAAAAGGCAATGCACCAGACCAGACGCACCACTGACCCGCTCCGTTTTCCCAACACAATTGCCTATCGCATCGCACCACACCACCGATACCTGCCTCGCCACACTCACCGGTATCTTGCACAGCGTGTCTCCCGCCTCCATATCCGCCTCTGCCACCAGCCCTCGGATCAGCCACCTCGTCTGTTGGCCCAAAAAAACTGCCTATTGTACCCCTGATAAGCTGCCTCGTCACCCTCACTGGTATCTTGCACAGCGTGTCTCCCGCCTTCATATCCGCCTCTGCCACCAGCCCTCAGACCAGCTACCTCTTCTGTTTGCCCATAATAACTGCCTTTCGTACCCCTGATAACCTGCGCCGTAGCACTCACCGGTATCTTGCACAGCGTGTCTCCCGCCTCCATATCCGCCTCTGCCACCAGCCCTCGCACCAAACGCACCACCCCACTCCCTCCACTCTCCCCTTTTGCACCCTTGCCCCCCTTCTTGCTACCACCCTTGCCACCACCACCGGCACCACTGCCGCTGCTGCTGGTGCTGCCAGTGGTTTTCGTCTTTATAGTGGGGCTGTCTGTAGCGGATTCGAGAGGCTCTGGTGGAATGTCTGGTGTGAGCCTGATTCGTGCTTTTGGGGAGAGATACAGCCCGTGGGATGCTGCCCACGCTAGGAACTGCACGGGCGGGAGGAAAGGGTGAGGGAGAAGGGAAGGTTGAAGGGAGGGTCGAAGGGGAGAGGGAGAAGAAACATCAGGGGAATAAGGAAGAGAAAAAAAAAACTTCAGACCCAGAAGGTTCTCGTGGGATGTCCGTGTGAATTTCAATTGTGTTTTGCATGAGAGGTACAGCCCAGAGAGCCGGAATGCTGCCCATGCCGGAGGGATGGGGAGCCCGTGCCGGGAACTGGGCGAGTGGGGGGACGTTTTTAAGCTTCTCCTGGTCGAATTTTTAAGCTTCTCGCGCTGAGACTGCTCTCCACAAATGTTGGCGTCTTCTCACCTTGTCGTTTGTCTCCTTTGAGAATGGTGAAGGTTCGGAGGCGTGAAAAGGGAGAATGGACGAGGTGGGGAAGGAGCACTCCACGCCTTCCTGTGAACGCCAAGCAGACATAACAAAAAGTGGAGGTTGGTTCGATTTTTACATATACTTTTTGTTAGGTGCCTCAAAATATAGCACTCCACGCCTTCCTGTGATGTATGCGAGATATGGCAAAACCAGTGTGTTGTCAGAAGAAATTCCTGAGAAATTTGAGTGATATGAGTGAGATGAGCTTATCCAGGAGAGAGGGAGATTCATAGGAAGAGCGGACTGACAGGCAGAGGTAGAGATCCATGGACGGCAAACGAAGGTGACTTGAATCGACTCATAACACACCTTTGACACAATAATAAATAATGATGAGAAAATGCCCGGAAGAGCAGCAGAAAAGTTGAAAGTAGAGTGGACTAACATGCTGCTTGAAGTGCGTGACGGGGTAGAGTCCATGGACGTCAGACCAATGTGTTTTGAGTCAGCTAAAAGACAAACTTTAATTTTATTTGTATTTAAGCAAATGATGTCAAGCAAATGTTTGAAGAGCAGCAGGAGTTGGAAAGGTAGAATGGACTGACATGGAGCTTGAACTGCGTGAAGAGGTAGAGTCCATGGACGGCAAACAGCGACACGATAACGATCAGGATCGTGCGACGTCGCCTGTGAAACAGCGATTGCCACGACGCCTTGCGACGCCTTCGAGGCGACAAATGAACTTCGTGGAAATTCCCCATGACCGACCGCTCTACAATGGCGGATTGGAATAGCCGAGCAAGTCCGATTAGCGGTAGCAGTTGCAACGTTTCATGTACACATTGGATCTTGCTGGTAAGATCGTCGGATGTAGCTTGAAACCCTGGTCGAATTTCAGCGATACTTATTGAAACCTATTGTACTCCTGAACCTCAGTCGCGTAGTTGGTTCCGCCCAAGTTCTGGCGAAGAGAATGCGGTTTACTTCTCCGATTCGCCATGGACTGGGAACGGGCCTCGATATCGTCGCGATTCGTGGATGGAGGGGAAACAGATCGGGAAGAAGGAAACACGGAAACCAACACTCTACAGTCGCACCAGGCTTCACGATATTAGGCACAACACGGTTTCTCTGAACCAAAGGAATGCCATAGCATAATTGACACATGTTACGAGTGCAATTGAGTGAACGAACGAGAATTGCACTATCGAAGCAAGAGTACAATGAGCGAAGGCATGAGCGAAGAATATATAGCGAAACTACAGTGGTAACGGTAATGGTCGCGCGACGAGCCTGGGACTGAGGTTGGGAACGTGTCGAAGCGTAGGCCCAGAGCGCGGGTTACCAGCCGAGCCGTGAGGTCGGGATGCGATGTGCGAAAATGGCGGGATGATGAATGATGCGATGGTCGCGAGTGGTAACGGTGCTGACTGAGGTGCTACAGTGATGTACGCGTTGAGCAGAGATGCGAAGTAAGGAAAAGGGAATTTCCTTACACTACCCCCCCCTCCTAAAAGGTCCTCCTTACGAAAGCGCGTGGACGTCTTTGAAGTTTCGGCTGCGTAGATAGTCGGTGACGACAGGGTGGTTTTCAATTCTGTCCACGGGAACCCAGTTGTCCTCGGTGGGTGTACGATCTTTCCAGCGAATCAGAAACTCAACTTTTCGGGCCCCTCGAGGGTCGCGAACTCTGTGGCTCAAGATTTTGTCGGGGGTGATGACTGGTTCGGTTGGTGGTCGTGTCATGCTGGATGGTCGATGTCGTGGGAGTTGGCTGGTGGATGGTACGTAAGGGCGAAGCAGGCTGACGTGGAACGAGGGGCTGACGTACCAGTCAGCAGGAAGGAGGAGGTGCGCGGTGACAGGTGTGATCATGTGACTGATTCGAAATGGCCCACAGTATCGAGGGCGGAGTTTGGGAGTGATGGGCAGGCGGAGGTTCTGGGTGTCGAGTAAAACGAGGTCGTCGGGCTGATAAGTGACGGGTCTGCGGTGGCGATCGGCGTTGCGTTTAGCGATGATATTTGATTTTTTAATTGCTTCTGCTGCCCTGGTCCGTGCTGCTTGCAAAATCTCGACGAACTGTTGTGCGCGTGGAACGGGATTGTCGGGGTTTGGTGTCATGGGTGTCAGATTATTATAGCTGATGCATGTTTGTAGGCTATAGTGGGGTAGCACATATGGGGTACAGTTTGCTAGGGTTGTATTTGTACCCAACTCTGACTTAGTCAATTCATTCCTGTTTATTACTTTCACATGGTATAGAGCGGGTTCCCTGTGGGAACTTCGCCTAGGGCCCACCGAAGCGCGCCCCGAGGCGCGCGATCCTTTTTTTTAGCGACCCCCCCGAGTCGCCCTTCCCCTGCGGCCCCGCCGCCCTTCGTTCGCGGCCCCGCCGTCCAGTCGCGGCCCCGCCCTTACGTCGCGGCCCCGCCCTTACGTCGCGGCCCCGCCACTAAGTCGCGGCCCCGCCACTAAGACGCGGCCCCGCCACCCAGTCGCGGCCCCGCCGCCTACTCGGACGCGGCCCCGCCGCCTGCTAAGACGCGGCCCCGCCGCCTGCTAAGACGCGGCCCCGCCGCCTGCTAAGACGCGGCCCCGCCGCCTGCTCAGCCGCGGCCCCGCCGCCCTCTACGACGCGGCCTCCGCCGCCTGCAGACGCCGCGGCCTCCGCCGCCTGCTCAGCCGCGACCCCGCCGCCCGCTACGACGCGGCCTCCGCCGCCTGCTCAGCCGCGGCCCCGCCGCCCTCTACGACGCGGCCTCTGCCGCCTGCTCAGCCGCGGCCCTGCCGCCTCCTACGACGCGGCCCCGCAGCCTGCTCAGCCGCGGGTGCTTCCAGCGGCCCTCCGCTGCATCCTGACGGCCCGCCGCTGCACCCTGCGGCCCCGCCACTGCGCCTGTCCCGGCTCCGCCACTGCACCCTGACGGCCCCGCCGTCCCCTGTCTCGGCCCCACCGCTGCACCCTGACGGCCCCGCCGTCCCTTGTCCCGGCCCCGCCACTACACTGCAGCCGAGCCGCCCAGCAGCAGCCGAGCCGCCCAACAGCAGCCGAGCCGCCCAGCAGCAGCCGAGCCGCCCAGCAGCAGCCGAGCCGCCCAGCAGCAGCCGAGCCGCCCAGCAGCAGCCGAACCGCCCAGCAGCAGCCGAGCCGCCCAGCAGCAGCCGAGCCGCCCGGTACCTGCGCCGCCCGAGCCGCCCGAGCTGCCCGAGCCGCCCGAGTCGCCCGAGCCGCCCGAGCCGCCCGAGCCGCCCGAGCAGCCCGAGCCGCCTGCTGCTGACCTACCCGACTCTCCCATCCCGGTGAGACTTTCAGCTGCTGCCATGGCCACCCCCAATGTTCTCACTTTTGACGCTGAGGGGAGGGCCATTGACTTTGCCGTCTGGATCGAGGACCTGCAGCTGTACTTACTGTGTGATGCGGTAGATGAGGTCTCTCTCTTTGACTTTGTCTCTGGCGCTGTCCCTGCCCCGCCTGCTGATGCTGACTCTGCCGTTCGCTCCAAGTGGGCGACCCGCGATGCTGCTGCACGTCTTGCTGTGCGTCGCCACCTCCCTTCCTCTGAGCGTGCCCACTTTAGTCAGTGCAAGACCGCTCAGGCCTTGTACGACGCTGTAGTTGCGCGCTACTCCTCCCCTTCCTCCGCTACCCTTAGCCGCCTCATGCTACCGTTTCTCTTCCCTGACCTCGCTTCCTTTCCCACTGTCGCTGACCTCGTTACCCACCTCCGCGCTAGTGACACCCGCTACCGCGCTGCCCTTCCTGCTGAGTTCCGCGCTGCGAACCCTCCTCCCATGTACATCACTCTCTACTTTCTCGTCACCCGTCTCCCTGAGTCCCTTCGTGTCGTTAGGGACCAGTTTCTCTCTGTCTGTCCCACCACTCTCACTGTCGACCTCCTTGAGGAGTCCCTGCTAGCGGCTGAGAAGAGTATTGTCGCTGTAGGGGCCTCTCGGGGTGACCCTCGCACCCCCATCTTTGAGGGGTGTGGTCCCTCCCCCCTGCTGCCCTCTGTCGCCTCTGCCGCTGCGGCCGACCTCGTTGGTTTTGAGTCGGTCGGCGCGGCGTCTGCCCTCAGTGGCAGACGCCGCACTGGCAAGGGCAAGGGGGGCAAGGGAGCGGGTGGAGCCAGAGGGGGCGGTGGAGGAGGCGGTGGGGGTGGAGGGGGGAGTGGGGGTGGCGGGGGGGGTGGTGGCGGGAGTGGAGGTAGTAGTGGCGGCGGTGGAGGCGGAGGTGGCGGCGGAGGTGGTAGCGGAGGAGGCGGTGGGAGCGGTGGGAGCGACGGTCCTGGTGGGGGAGGTGGCGGTGGCGACGGGGGTGGCGGTGGAGGCGGGGGTGGCGGTGGAGGAGGGGGTCGGAGTGGCTCGTCCCAGCGGAGCAGCTCTGGGGGTGGTCAGCGCCAGCAGCAGCAGCAGCAGCAGCCGCAGCAGCAGCCGCAGCAGCAGCAGCGCTCTCGCACCGTCCCCGGCCCTCAGCAGCTCCGTGAGTGGTACTTGCAGCGTCAGCGCGGTGGTGCGCTTGGTCCCTGCCCCTACGTTCTTCGCACTGGTGACCGTGCAGGGGAGAGGTGTGGAGGCGCCCACACAGCCCGTCGCTGCTTTGGCCGCCTGACCGACGCCTGGCGTCAGCAGTTTCCGGAGGCCGCTGAGATCCCCCGCTGGGGAGAGCTGTCTAGGGCTGGTGTAGCTATTTATGATCTTGATTTTGATGCTATTCTCTCTGCTATGTATGCTGTGACGGGTAGTGATGAGGATGACTGTTACCGGTGTTTCCCGCCCGACCCGGGCATTGGTACTGCCGCGTCAGGTACTAGTGAGGCTGCTGCTCTAGGTGCCAGTGCGTCTGTGCTTTCAGGTTCTGGTGAGTCCGCCCTCTCAGGTACTGTGTCGGCTTCGGCCTCTCACACCTTCACCCTTGACTCTGGAGCGTCTCGCTCCTTCTTTAGGGACCGCACCACTCTCACGCCGCTGAGTCGGCCTGTTGCGGTGTCCCTGGCGGACCCCTCTGGGGGGCCTGTCCTGTCTCGCTTCTCCACTGTCCTCCCGTGTCCGGCGGCCCCCTCTGGCACCCTGACTGGTCTCTACCTCCCCTCGTTCTCGACGAA